ATATGTAATTATATATGTGTTTTCCGATGGTCTTAGGTGACCCCTGTGAAAGGGTCATTTGACCCCCAAAGGGGTCGCGACCCACAGGTTGAGAACCGCTGTCTTATAGTATTTATCTGATCAGCAACTCTTCCTTGTGGAACTTGTGGGGAAGATCATGTGAAAAGCAATGAGCCTCTCACTCATGTTCTGGGATGGGAATAGGAGTCCATGGTGTGCAGCGATGGGACAGCTAACCAAGCTGTTGTCCATGGTGACCTGGATCACATGCTTATGGAGGGAGAAGCGATGGAGCTAGTGCAAAAAGGGCACCATCTAGAGGTTTGGAATTGGAGAAGAACTCCATTAATGAGATTTTAGGTTACCATCCATTTTAGAGATGCTGGTTCTCCATTTTGGAACTGTTTTGATGGGAATAAGAAAATGCGTGTGCACAGGGTGGCCAGGAAGAGGAAGAGGCCATACCTAACTCTCACTTTCCATGGGCACAACATCCCTTCTTTAAGTTGCCAGCCCTGCTCCTCATGATTTGGCATGATGCTTTTCACACCACTCAACCCTGACTATCAGGTGACCAAATTAGACCCATCAGAATATTTCCCCCCACATTTTAAAAATATTTTATTGATTTTTTACAGAGAGGAAGGGAGAGGGATAAAGAGTTAGAAACATCGATCAGCTGCCTCCTGCACGCCCCATACTAGGGATGTGCCCGCAACCAAGGTACATGCCCTTGACTGGAATTGAACCCGGGACCCTTCAGTCCGTAGGCCGACGCTCTATCCACTAAGCCAAACCAGTCAAGGCTTCCCCCACATTTTAAATCCTGACCTCAGTTACACGGGGCTGGAAAGTGACTGCAATTGAGGCTTCCAACAGCACTGTTTAATGAGAAAGCCCATGAACTCCTGCAGCTGAGATCTCTGGGACCAGCACAGCCCTGGGTCCTTTATTTACCAAGCCCCAATACTCAGTGTTTCCATTTGATTCAGCGAGTGACCCAGAATCTTTTCAAATAACACTGCTTATTCAGCCTTCTACTTGAATGACATGCAATTTAATACAAGACACTTATTTACCAAGGACGATGACCTTCTAGGCACCAGACTAATTCTTTCTGATAAATAACATTTCATTTACTTCGTACAGTTGTGTAAGGAGCAGCAACATTTTATGGAGCATAGCAGCTGCTGTCACTCACATCTCTCAGACACATCTGAGTGCCCTGATGCCAGTCTCAGCACCTGTGCTGAATGGTGGTGTAGAAATGGCCTAGAAACCCTCTGGGGTGCAGTCATTCTGAGGTGTGTGTTTTGCCTCGTTTTCCAGCCTTTCCCCATAGTTTTAAGTTTTTATCTCCCCCTGGCCTCAGAGGACACTCTTGGCTGACTTCCACACTTACCCTTGGTTATTTTCCCGTTCTCACTCCCTACATAAACCATTTCCCTCAAATCCTTGTCTTTGGGTCTCCTCCTGGGAGAAAGCAGATGAAGCCTGGTCGCCATGCTGGATCTGTGGAAGGATGTGGCTCAGAATATGACTTGCATTATATACCCTGGAACTACTCACTCACCCCATTTTATAGATGAAGACACCGAGACAGAGGAGGCAAGGACCGCCTGGCTAGTAGATGGAATATGCCTCATGGCAAGTAGAATTTACTCTGCCTGACAACTTGGATTTACTGCTCAGACTATTTTTTCTCAACGTCAGTACTATTGACACTTTGGGTCAGACAGTTCTTTGTATAATGTTTAGCAGCATCCCTGGGCTCTTTGTACTAGATGCCAGTAGCACACCACCCCACTTGTGACCAGCAAAAACGTCTCCAAATTGCCAAATGGCTCTGGGAGGAGGGGACAATTCCTCCGTGTTGAGGACCATTGGCCAAGAGAGCCAGGCCCAGGGGTAGGTCAGAGGTCCCCACCGATGGAGAAAGGCAGAGAAGGAGACGCACACGTAGCTTATTTACTGACCTTGTATAAAGCTTTCATCCAATCTTTTATCTTCTGACTGCAAATCTGGCCCACTTTCCATTAGGCGAGGCTCCCTGAGATCAACTGTTCCGTCGCTCTGCTTGTGATAAAGTTCTTTCCTATTGAGGAAAGTTCTTTCCAATTCTGCTTCCTGGGCACTTACTTCATCAGTGTGCCCTCCAGGGCCATGCAGAGGCCTAATCCCTGTTCATGCGTGGCACTTCAACTATTTGAACACAACTCCCGTGTCTCTGCCCTATAGATGGACGTGGACTACATGCCAAGCGCTGCAGACACACAGGGAACAGCTGTTGGACTGCAAGTTCAAACTTCTAAGTTCTTTTCAGGCCTTTGAACAGGAATTTCCAGGGGCTGGAGTCTATGCATTTTAAAGCTTCCAGGTAATTCTAATGTGGCCCAGCACAGTCCAATATTTAGGAACCTCAGACCTACTTTATTCCAGCCCAGGCAACAGAGTTCTGATTTGTTTCTTAAAGCAGATACCTAAAAGATGGTATTTGAAGATGCATTGCAAAGAAACTCTTAAAATTATAGGATATTTCATATTAGGTCAAAGAGGTATGTTTCTATCTAGTTTCATTTTGAGTAAAATAACTTTATATAAAGTTTATACCAAAAAAAGGTCATAAAAGTTGGCACCAGAAAATGTTAGTCAGGCTTACTTCTCCAGAGAGTGGGCTTCAAGGAGATACTTAAAAATTTCTTCTTTGTCCTTGTCTCCATTTTCAAAGCTCATAGGATGCATGTGTGTGTAAAAATGTACATACACATATTCTTATGCATTGCAATCTGTTTTTAAAGTTATTTAAAAAGTTGTAATGATGACCATCTTCTGCTATTTCATGTAGGGATGATGACATCGCTGGAAATAAGTTACAGTCATAGACCTGAACAATTTGGGGAATAATAAAAGCATTGCAATGATGGATTTGAAAAAGACTCCAGCTCACCTGCCATCACTTAAGGCAGTGAGAAAGAAGACCTAACAGTCATAGGACCACAGTATATCCACACAAAGATCCAGAGTTAAAGGAAACGGACATTGAAAAAAAAAAGTGAGCCCTGGCTGGTTTGGCTCAATGGATAGAGCATCAGCCTGTGGACTGAAGGGTCCCGGGTTCGATTCCGGCCAAGGGCACATGCCTGGGTTGTGGGCTTGATCCCCAGTAGGGGGTGTGCAGGAGGCAGCCAATCAGTGATTCTCTCTCATCATTGATATATCTATCTCTCTCCCTCTCCCTTCCTCTCTAAAAATCAATAAAATATATTTTAAAAAAATGATAGCAGAGAAGTTGCAATGTTGGGTAAAAATAAAAATAGGTTCTTATATCTACTCAAGCTAAATCACCATTCATTTGGCTCAATGGTTAAATATAGTCCCTCATAAAAGTAAATGATTATTCAATTCCTATTCACCCTAGGCTTTAAATTACATATCCTATATTCTTTTTAAAAAAATGTATATTTTATTGATTTTTTTTACAGAGAGGAAGGGAGAGGGATAGAGAGTTAGAAACATCGATGAGAGAGATAAACATCGATCAGCTGCCTCCTGCACACCCACCACTGGGGATGTGCCCGCAACCAAGGTACATGCCCTTGACTGGAATCGAACCTGGGACGCTTGAGTCCGCAGGCCAACGCTCTAGCCCAAGGGTGGGCAAACTTTTTGACTCGAGGGCCACAATGGGTTCTTAAACTGGACTGGAGGGCCGGAACAAAAGCATGGATGGAGTGTTTGTGTGAACTAATATAAATTCAAAGTAAACATCATTACATAAAAGGGTACGGTCTTTTTTTTTTTAGTTTTATTCATTTCAAATGGGCCGGACCTGGCCCGCGGGCCATAGTTTGCCCACGGCTGCTCTAGCCACTGAGCCAAACCGGCCAGGGCCATATCCTATATTCTATTTTAAGGGTTTCCGGGCTTCTAAAATGGGCAAACACTCTTCCTCTTTCCATTTTAACTGTCCCTATTTCCATTAAATAAATTAGAACAGATTGCTTTTTATTTTGAAGGAGTTTTCTGATTTCCTACTCACTGCTGCCCCAACTAAATACCCATCATGTGACTTTAAGCCTTTGACCCGTGTCCCTTCTTATGTAGAGACCGTTCCCATGTCTTCCTCACAAACATTTCCCCTTCCTCTTGGTAAAGTCTTGTGTTATTTCTGGGAGCAGGAATCAGGGTCCAGGACTGAGTCCACAGCAGGCAGGTCCCTTTCTTCAGCCACAGGAGTTTGCTGATGCACACAAAGTTGACATGCCCATAAAACCCCCAACAACCCAACCCCCACTTTTTTTTAAAGTGAAATATAAGTCCGCATTCAAACTCCATCACAGCAACTGAATACCATGGAGGGCAGCCTCTGGATCTTTCAAGAGTGATTATATTTCATGTTGCAAGGAGTGTGTGTGTGTGTGTGTGTGTGTGTGTGTGTGTGTGTGTGTGTATGAGAGAAAATTCAAGAGAGAAGGATATATATTGAAAGAGAGAGAGCAAGAGAGACAGAGCGAGAATGAGAGCAAGAAAGAGAGGTTGAGAAAGAGAGAGGAAATTCTAGCAAAGAAATGTGTGCGTACTGGTGGGTAATGCTACCCTAAATAACTTGGACTTCCACTGGCTGGCTTTTGTTCATAAAATGCTAATCCTTTTAGGTGCAGATCTATATAAAACATTGGGGATTAAAGAGCATACAGAAATCTCAAATCTCTTCTGCTACATAAGGTAAAGATATATTTCAACTAACAGTTCAAAATTCTTTTGAGGGTACTAACAAGGGGTCATTAAAAAATTTCCCAATTCTTTATGAAATACTAATATATGATGAATATCATAGGATGTGCCAAACTAATAATGAACACTAGACAGGTCACTGTAGTTACGTTTGAGATTGTTTTTCAATGCACAGCTGTCTTTGGGAAAGAATTTATTTCTCAAGTCAACGATAATGATGGGGGAGGGAGTCATTTCATTTCACACGGAAAAGCCCCACCTGGCATTTGAAAATAATTCTCCTTTGCTTACCTGTGCTCTACTAATCACTTGTGCTCTCTCTTTCTCGTCACAGCCCTCGCAGGCAGGCAGATATTATTATCCCCTTCTTGCTGATGAGAAAACAGTGAGGAGATGAGTTGCAAAGTGTTAGAGTGGGGAGCCGAAGCAGGCTCCTGGCTCTCAGCCCCCAGCACTTTCTACTATCTTGCAAGAAAGCCTCAGATGAGAAGGGAGCAGCCCTGTGTTTGCTCCAAATCCTGGCTTCTCATGCATGATATCATATCCATCTACAAGGTACTCCCACTGGCCAGATTGCTAGACCAGATTTTCTTTAAGATTCAGTTCTCAAAGTTATCAGAAATGCATTTTGGACCCTGGCACCATCAGCCTGTGGCCCGCCTCCCATTGCTCTGTTTTTGCCTTTCTTCATGCACAAGTAGTTTCGGTCTCACTTAACGGTCTTCCTCCACTTTGGCAACTCCTTGAGTGGCTGCCTGGCTCACCCGGGGAACGAAGCTGAAAAGCAGGTGTTCTTTTCCACTCAGCAGATGCAAAGGCGATAAGCTGCACTTTTTAGAGCCTCCTGAGAGACTCAGACACCCTGGGCTAGGCAACTTGGATCTTGTCCAATTTCCTCCTCTCCAGCCGGCTCGGGCTCCAGCTCCGGCTATGGATGTGTGTCTGAGCTCCGAGCAGCAGCCTGGGCGCCCGGGGGAAGGACCAAGCTCCCCAGACGGCTGGCTAGAGGCAGAGGAAGAGACTGTCCAGAAAGATGGTAGTAGTGGACCCACAGGAGGTAATCCCCTTCATGTCCTCAACACCTTCTCAGTTGTTCTCCTGGTGATGGCATTTTCCAGTTAACTTCTGTGACAAGAATTTCCGTTTCCTTTTAACTCTAGATTTTGAAATAATGTTTATTGAAATATAATTGACATGTAATATTATATTAGTTCCAGGTGTATGACAAACGATTTGATATTTGGATATATTGCAAAATGATCACTACAATAAGTCTAGTTAACATCCTTCAAGATTGTTTGTATAATGCAGTTAAGTAGAAAAATGCCTTTATGCAAGCATAAGCATAGCATTACAAGTAATTCCTATTTTTCATCATTTATTTATCAAAATCCACAAATTTATTTTATCTTGTATATAAATCTAAGACTGTATATTTTTGTAAGAAGAACATTTAAAAAGAAATGCAATCTAGATTGGTTTCTGCTTTTCATCAAAACGTATTCCTGGCAGCTCTGTCATACACGGATCCGCGTAGAGCAGTGGTTCTCAACCTTCCTAATGCTGCCACCCTTTAATACAGTTCCTCATGTTGTGGTGACCCCAATTTCATTGTTACAGATTGAACATAAGTAAAGCATAGTGATTAATCACAAAACAATATGTAATTATATATGTGTTTTCCGATGGTCTTAGGTGACCCCTGTGAAAGGGTCGTTTGACCCCCAAAGTAGTCACGACCCACAGGTTGAGAATTGCTGGTGTAGAGCAAAGTGCATTTTCCCATCAGGACAGTGCAACCATTAGGGTTGCATTTCTGGACAGGGACTTAGTAGTTAATAAATGATGGACATACCAAATAAGGTCATGAGAGCCAAGATACAGCATTTATAACATTTACAATCATTTAATGTGATATAATTATGTTCCAACTCTACTAAACCAGGATATTATTTATTTTTACTAAACTGTTTACATAAAAATGCAACTCTATCTGTCTCTCAAATCTGGTCCCTCTAAAACTACCAGTCTACCATGGGTACAATAAATGAAAATATTTAATGTGCAATAAACATAAATTTCTATATTTCTGTAGACTATAAAAGGTTCTAATGGGAGTATATTTATACGCCCACGTTTCTTTACCCTGTTGATTGGGAAAGCATAAACATTAGCTTCTTAACCTGTAAAATACTGAACCATTCAAAATCAGCCCGTTGACTTTTCCTTCAGTCTTGAGAGTCCCTGTTTGGCGATTTGTGGGAGGAAGGGAAGAATGTATGGTCTGGGGCAGTGGTTCTCAACCTGTGGGTGGCGAACAATGAAAATACATCCTGCATATCAGATATTTACATTACGATTCATAACAGTAGCAACATTACAGTTATGAAGTGGCAACAAAAATAATTTTATGGTTGGGGGTCACCACAACATGAGAAACTGTATTAAAGGGTCGCGGCATTAGGAAGGTTGAGAACCACTGGGGCATCGCGGGGGTGGCTGGGGGAAGGAAGCTGGCAGGAGCTGGCATTAGTGAGTACCTGATGGTCGGGCTGCTCCTGGTAGACACTCCACTGATGAAAGCCTTTGAGGAAAAGAGCACAGCCCTGTACCGACTCCTTGTACCAGCTGGCCTGTACCAGCTCCTGAATTTCAGGAATTTGGTGAGCTGGTTATTAAACATGGCCATTATTGAAATTTAAGTTACATAAATTACAAAGAAATCGATTATATAAAAGGCAAAGGTATATGGGGAAAAAACCTAGATAATAAATACTCCTGACCAGACCTGGATTATTTTAGGGCATTTGATGATTAGCTATGTTCTTGAGGCTAGTGCTGTCCATTGTATCTGGATGGTGGAAGTACTCCATTATGGTGTAGGCTGCACATCTTTCCCCAGGGACATGTTATCACCAGGGCTGTTTACACCTTGGTCACCGTCAAACCCTACAAATCAGTGATGGAACCTAGGGCCTCCTTGGTCATTTATACATATTGCGTTGGCGTTGTATGTCAGTGGCTTCCCATAAGAGGTAGGTGAAGACTGGAGGTCTCCTTCCTTCCCTTATGGTCTCCCCACAGTCCTAACCAGGGCACGTGACAGGAAAGGACCCCTCAGGACTGACTCAGCCACTCTTTACTAGCAGGTTCTGGCAAGTTCAGTGCGGCCCCTGGTCTCTGGAAGCTTGCCTTTTTTTCAGGGCGGAGAATTCTCCTTCCAGGTGTGGAACACACTAAACCAGAACCTGCGGCCGAGAGCAGCACTCCGAAGAGCTGCGGACATCGTGGTCACACTGTGGTCAAAGGCCATTTCCCCATCCGCTGCATACTGACACTTTTTTGGTAAAACACAACAGAAACGAATTGCTAGGAAGACAAAACGGAAATACATGCATACAGACATGCAAAGTATAAGCATGTAATTAGCTTCAACAGCCATGACCCCATGGCGGACATTCTAAAGGCTTCCTCCAAGTTTCGGTGCTGCTCTTTCTGGAAACCTGTTAAGACGGGTTGCAGACCAGTGGCACAGAGCTGTCGCAGTGCCCCTGGAAAGCAGTGGTACCTGACAGAGTCTGTCCTACCTGCCTCCCAAGGGTGGACTCCTGAGTAGGTTTCTTCAAAGACCCGCCACCCTTCACCTCCTCCTCTGCACATGTGCTCTTTTCCTCCCATTTTATATGATATTTGAGAGCTGCTGGAGTGGTCATGAGAGCAAGGAAGCATTTAACACAGCAGTAACTCGATCGTCAGAGCTCATCTGACAGCCTCCTGTGGGGCTGGCTCATCTTTGGGTGACCTGAACCTTTTGAGGAGCTGATGTAAGAAGGATTTAAGGAACACGCTCCAGCCAACATTGGGAATGCTACTTCAAGACCTAAAAATAGTCAGGTCCATGTTTGCCCGGGTCCTCCTTACACAGACAGCCCATTTGTGTCACTTTCCTGGTGCCATTTAGCTTTCTCCTGTCATCAGGAGTGTGGGAATGGGGACACACTTCTTCCGTCCTCTTCTAACTAGAGGGAATATCTTTGGCATTTCGTCACATGATAAAGATGTCACATCTGAATGCTATGTCCCTGTCACTCCATAGCACTGCTTTGTGCTAGTTTGCAGCCTTTGTCATTAATAGCGTCACCCCTCAGTTCCCATCCTACCAATTGTACTAAGTGTATATTTGCACTGAATCAACAAATCATGAAACCTATTTTATTTTCTGCCCCACAGATTTTAACAGCATAGAACCATCTCTTCATAGCCTCCAGAAATTTGTTCCTACAAATTATGCCAGCTACACCCAGGAGAACTATCTGTTTGCAGGCAAGAAGATTGTCCTTCAAGAATCAATAGAGAGTTACGGAGCAGTGGTGTGGCCAGGGGTGAGAGAACTGTTACATTTTGGGTTTCTCCAACTGTGGGTCAATTGTTGCCCCCCCACCAGGGGTGCGGGTGGTGTGCTTGGACTCCACGAATACATCACATCTCTCCCATAAGCTTTGATTTTCCTCTGTGCTATGTTCCTGAAACATTATTGTTTACATTAATATAAGCTTGAATATATCAGGAAGTAGGATGAAAAATTCATATGAATTCTTAAGGACAAAGTCACATCTTCAGAGCTTTGGCTTTGCAGCATGTACCTTCGGGCCACTCCCACAGACCCTCAGGTGTACGTTTTCTGTTCACATTGTGGAAAACAGGAATGTTCAAGAACCACGGCTGCATCTCATGTTCTCCCTGCAGCAGCCCCGGGAGGATGGCGCCGAAATGGGGGAAACACTGAACTGAGAGCCAGCAAGCCTGCTGTTTCCTGGCTGTGTGGTCATGGATGGTCACTGCGCCTCTGTTTGCCTTCATTTCCATATTTAAAGCACGGGGCAGTGTTCATGGCCAGTGCCGAGATGGTTGTGAGGGTTCAGTGAAGTGCTACCCCTAAGCTCATGTTAGATGGTCACTGTTCATGCAGTATGATGACTATTAACGAATCACTAAATTAATGAGGAAAAGCTCATGGCCTGGTAAAGCTATTGCACTGGGGGCGCCGTGCACAACCAGGCTGGGACAGCGGCCCCGGATGCAGCACTGCTGTTCTTTCCACCGCAGGGGTTTTCAGCCTGGGCTTAGAGAGGCTCCAGATCAACAGCTCAGCCGCTAGCATGGTGAATCATGCTGGGGTCTCCTTAAAATGCAGATTCTAATTCCGGGATGGGGGATGCTGTGCTCTGCATTTCTCCCAGGCTCCCAGGTGATACAGACCTGCCGGTCCAGGCACTGCACATGCAATGAGTAGTCATGATTAGAGCTTCCATAGAGAGCCCTCGGGGCGATCTGGGGTACTGGTGGCAAGTGAGAAGGGAGCAGGAGGAGGAATGGACAGCCAGGGGTCTCCTTGCTCCTAGAGCTCCTCCTCCCCCCACCCAAGGACAGTCCATTTTTATCTCTTATGCATATGAGTATGATTTCCTTCAAACAAAGGCTTTTCTTCTCTTTTTTAATTGAATTTATTGGGGGGTGACAATGATTAATAAAATTATACAGGTTTCAGGTGTACAATTCTATAATATATCATCTGTATATTGTATTGCATGTTCACCACCCAAGTCAAGTCTTCTTCCACCACCATTTATCCCCCTAATATCCCCTCTTGCATCCACCCATCCCCTTTCCCTCTAGTTATCACCATACTGTTGTCTCTGTCTGTGAGGTTTTTTTTGTTTGTTTGTTTGTTTGTGTGTGTGTGTGTGTGTGTGTGTGTGTGTCTGTGTGTTTTGCTTTTCTTTTCTTTTCTTTTTTAATATATTTTTACTAGAGGCCCCTCTTGGCCTGGCCCTCTCGCTATCCGGGACCCCTTGGGGGATGTTGGACTGCTGGTTTCAGCCCGATCCCCACAGGCAAGAGATGTAGTGCATGAAGTAGCAGGTGATGGGGGGGCACCGTTCCCCCTCATCCCAGCCCCGCTGCACCTGTTGCCGCTGCAGCTCAGTAGTGCTGCCATGGAGGAGCGCTTGCCAGCAGGTGTCTGGCACCTCTTGGTCAGCTGAGCGTCATAGCTACTGGCTGGTTGTCTGGTCGTCCAGTCAACCAGATGCTTAGGCTTTTATATATATAGATATTTGGCAAATAGACAACAATAGCAGGGGTATCAGAGATTATATTTGTCCACTGGGCAGTTTTATGCTCATCAAGGCCTCAGCCTTTCATGCACAAACCCTGGCCTCTCTTGGGACCTCAAACTCTTGAAAACTGCAACAGAAGGATTCATGTAACACGCTTCTCTTGTGTGTAGTCCAGTGCAGCTCTCCGTGAAAGAGATCATTTTCCAGATTTCGCTAACAGGCTAAGAAGGGAAGGGGAGTGTTTGCAATGTCAAAAAATGTAGCTGTTCCTGAGAAAAAAGCATTGTTCCCAGATAGCACCCCAGAGGGGCCAGCCTCACACAGGGCAGGGCTATCTCTTCAGAAAACACCTCAAAGCATGTGTCCTCTCCGTAGCTCTAGGTGACACTGTCTTCCTAATATTGAAACCCCTACACCACAAATAATTATCCTCTCAAGGGATGTTTGATTTTCTGTATAAAAAGCTATCTTAATTTATTTGCATATGTGTTTTCACAAATAATTGTCCTCTCAAGGGATGTTTGGCTTTCTGTATAAAAAGCTATCTTAGCCTTAACCGGTTTGGCACAGTGGATAGAGCATCGGCCTGCAGACTGAAGGGTCCCTGGTTCGATTCCGGTCAAGGGCATGTACCTTGGTTGCGGGCACATCCCCAGTGGCGAGTGTGCAGGAGGCAGCTGGTCGATGTTTCTCGCTCATCGATGTTTCTAACTATCTCTCTCCTTTCCTCTCTGTAAAAACTCAATAAAAAAATTTTTAAAAAAGCTATCTTAATTTATTTGCATATGTGTTTTAGCATCTCCTTGCTACTCATAGTACAGTCCACAGACCAGAAGCCCCGGCAGCACCTGGTAGCTTGTGGGAAACGTAGTCCTGAGCACCCCAACCAGAGCACACTGCACACAGACGTGCATCTGAACCAGGCCTAGGTGATCCGCGTGCACACTAAAGTGCGGGAAGTATTGTTCTGACAGTCTGTTTCTTAGAGAAACCACTTACAACAAAACAAAACTGCCCAGCTGTCCGGCATAGAAGACAAAGCCCTGGCCCACTGAATGTTGACAGAGGCTAGGAGCGAGGTCTTGAAGAAGTTGATCCAACATTCTTAAAGCAGGTGGAGGCCTGACATGACTAAACCAGAGGAGGGAGTTGCTGTTCTGTAGCCCTCACTGCCCGGGTTTGCAAGAGATGAGCTCATCTTCCAATTCCTGGCAGTCAAGCAAGAGTCTTCTGATACAGGCGATTCACAAACCTGTTTCTCTAGTTCCTTTGATGTAGGTTATAATTTTCATATTCCAGAGGTCTAAATACATCAGTAAATGTATATTTTTGATTCTGATGAACCTTTCCATAAACTATTAATGATAAGTCTTATAGTATTTAATTTGGGGTGGAGATTGAGGTGGCTACTGGTTTCCAATGTTGCAATGCCCAAGTGACAAGTATAAATCTTTTTTAGGCTATGGCTTTGTGTCAATATTTGGAGGAACATACAGAGGAATTGAATTTTCAAGATGCTAAAATACTTGAAATTGGTGCTGGACCAGGCCTTGTTTCCATTGTGGCCAGTATTTTAGGTTTGTTTGTTTACTTATTCCTGACCTTGTTTCCAAAGACCTTTATTGTGACAACAATGATAAGGAGTATCACAGGCTTAGGTGCTCATGGTTTAGGTGCTCAGCCATGATTTCACTCATTGAATCTCTCCCCGTGTCACAAGCTAGAATTACTACTGCTGTCCCCAGAGATAAGATCCCCAGAGATAAGATTATTGTGTGTTAGTAATTTGCCCAGTCCACCGATTACCAGTGATGAAATTGAAAATTTGGAGGTATGACTCTCAAATCCTCTGTTGTAAACAACTAGGTTATGTTGTCTCCTGCTCTTTGTTGCAAATATTGTCACTAACATTGTGAAGGAAATAAAAAGTGAGTTAATCCAAGGTGAAGACAGATTTATACCCAAAATGTAGGTTGTGAGTTCCTGGGCACTGGGCAAGAGGTGGTACTAATCTGGCTACTTCTGCCTACATTATCATAGTTCTTTCTTTAAAACTAATCTGGAAATATGGTGATCTATTTTGTGAGCCATTGTCACTAGCTTTAAAATGCCTAAGAATTAATTTAATTAATTTAGATAAGGGTGAGAATCAGACAAAATAGATTACCCTTTGTGGAAAGAAAAAACACCCG